AAAGTGACGTGAGCGCGCGACAGTGCAGACATCTTTTTTTCGCCAGCGCTGCAATGTCATCTGCCCTGCATGCGGCATCACTGCGGACCTGGAATGGGCTGAATGAGGTGTTCCATGATCTGTCTTCTGTGCTCCATGCGCTGCAACGAGATGATCCAGCAACACTGCATCTTCTTCCATCAACGACGCCATCTCGACGGCAACAGAACGGGCACCGGCCGCTTCCAACTCTTCCAGTTTCTGCAGCATGATCGCGACACGACTGGAGACGTCCGTCTCGTCGTCATTGAAGTCCTTCACTTCCGGCTCCGTCGCAAAAACCACTTCATCTTGATTGCAAGAGACGTTGCCTGCAGTGGCCTGGGCGGGGCCTTCTTGCATGCTGCCAGGCCCATCGCGACCAATTGGCACGGTCAAAACACAATCAAGAACAGCCGGAGGAACGACATCATCTTCGCCACCAAGCCATTTCGTCAACTGTTCGTTGTCGATCTTGGTCACTCCTGCAGCATAAACAACATTTGTGTCCATCAAAACTTGAGCTTGCTGAAGTAATCGGTCTTTCCGCACACGCAGCTGCACGATCTTGCGGACCGCTTCGCGGCCATGGTCAACATCTTCTATGGAAGATCCGTGCAGAACGTAATGGCCAATGCGTCGTTCAATTTCTCTGGCGGCAGCGACTGCAGCGTGTGCTTGGCATCGCCATTGTGGAAGAGCGGCGAGGAACCCACGTAACCAGTCTGTTGGTATACACGTGGTCCCACTGCTGCTGTGGCCGCCTGCGCCATTTGCGCACCACCGGCTCGCAGCACCACTTTTGTGGCGACGGTGCGGGCAAGTGCCAAGCACATCTCGTGCGTCATGTTGGCCTCCCACAGCAATGGATCGATGCGTCCAAGCCAGAGATCGTGGGCGAGAGCAAACTTGCAGAGCCGCGCCTTCTTGGGAACGAAGGCTTGGTGGCAATCGATGCAAACATAGACAGGTTCCTCACCGCGCGCCGCAGCTGCGGACACGCGGCGTTTGTGCAACAAAACCAACTGCACGGAACCGTCAGCTGTGCGCACTTGGACGCCAGAGGCTTGCAGCTCTGTCAAAGGGATCTTCGGCCAGCGCTGATGGTATCGATCCACAGACAAGAGCGTCCAAACTGCAGGTGAGTTTTGCATGAAGCATTCATCCACCACGGAAGCCGGGCTCAGAGATTCAGCAATGCCGTGTAGATTAGCCCTGGAAAGCAGAAGGCCACAGACTGATGCACCAGGCTTTGCTGAGCACTTGGAGGAAACAGCGCAAGAAGAAGTTGAGATGTCGTTTCTTGAGGGACCCTTCTTTTCAGCAGCAGAGGTCACAGAAGCTCTCGGCCATCCCAACTGGCGCATCATGAGGCGCTTTGTTATAGAGCAGGGGGCAAAACTGAGGCCCATAGATGACGGGCTGGAGGCACAGTTGAATTCGGCCTATACTTCGACTATCAGACTTGACTTGCAGGATGCGGATTACGTTGTTGCCTTGACACTGGAACTTGGGAAGACTAAAGGCCTAGATTGGGTGGGCAAAACGCTGGACCTTTCAAAGGCTTATAAGCAATTGCCCATTAAGCCCGATCACAGGGACCTGGCTGTGGTGCTCTTTAGAGACAAGCAAGGAAAGGCCAGGTACTATGTTCCCAATGCCCTGATGTTTGGCTCAACAGCCGCAGTGTACACTTTCAACCAGGTAAGCAGGTCAATTTGGTTTTTGATCAATGTGTTTCTGAAGGTGCCCTCAGCAGTTTACTTCAATGATTACCCCATGTTCGCACCTGAAAAAAACCGCAAGAGACCGATGCCTTGGTCTCGGACTTCTTGGACCTCCTAGGGTGGCGTCATGATAGAACGGGACCCAAGGGCAAACCGTTCTCGCCTTCCTTTGATGTGTTGGGCATGACCTTAGACCTAGCAGGCTTGAGACAAGCCGGATCTGTAACCTTGAAAACTAAGGAAGGGAGAGTGGAGAAGATCTCCTCCAAGGTTCTTCAGGTACAACAGTCCGGGAATATGATCCTAACTGAGGCCCAGGAGATTCATGGCCTTTTGAACTTCGCCACAGGATACTTTGCAGGGAGGTCCTTGAGATACTCGTGTTTCAAGATCTTCTCTTTGGTAGACAAGTGCAAATCCCAAGCCCGGCAGCTGAAGGCGTGGTGCGAGGAAGTTCTTGTCCTGCTTGAGAGTGTCCAAAGCAGGACCATACCCATCAACATCAACACAAACACCGTGCTTGTGTTTAGGGATGGTTCCTGGGAAGGTGGAGTTGGGGGTCTAGGAGCAGTTCTTTTGGACGAGTCCACAGGTTCCAGAATTGTAATCCAAGATGAGGTGCACGAAAGCCCACTATCCTTGTGGAAGGGAGCAGTGGGAGACCAGATCATCTGCCAGATTGAGTATTTGCAATGGTTCTCGTACGGTGGCAATGGAAACACGAACTTCATAATCGTCGTGTCCTTCTTTTTGTTGACAACAACTCAGCCAGGGGGGGACAGTAAAGGGCAGATCCAATAGTCCCTCCATGGACGACTTAGTGAAAGCTTTTTACTCAATTGAAGTTCACTTGCCATCGTTTTGGTGGATAGAAAGGGTGCCGAGCAAAAGCAACCCGGCGGACGAGCTCTCCAGGCTAGCCGGACAACAGGCATCCATCCGATGGGGAGCTCACTTCATCCAGGGATTCCCATGTCAAGAACAAGTAGCTGGTTGGCTCGTCCAAGCAGCCAGAAATCGGTCTGAGGCAACTGGAGCCCATTCGGTTTGAAAAAGGGGGAAGGTGGAAACCGAACCACTCCAGCCTAACTCCATTGGACATCCGAAGTCCTCCTATCTGATGGATCTATGTCAACAGGCTGGACCAGATACTGTACAGACGCAAGATGAGATATCCGAATCTCAGATCGTTGACTTCCCCCCGATACAATGAAAAAAGGTGTGGAGTGCAGCTGCGTGATGTTCAGCTTCCTTACATGGTCGACACACATGATAGAGATTGTGAACTTTTTCATCAGAAGTTTTTAGGATCAAAGGATAGGTGACAAGAAGGGATTTTACAAAACGTGGATATAACTTTCTTGGAACCGTTACTTTGAAAGGTTTAGGAACAACATAAAACGGCCTAAAAACAATAAAGGGTTGAAAAAAAGAAAGATTTGAATAAAAACATCTTGCATGAACAATGGCAGAGTTGAAATGCATCGCTTTTGAGTTTCCAAAATGTTGAATCAAACTGTTTGCGATGTTCAAGGATGGATTCGATGATCGTATCATTTGGCTTAAGACCTTCAACAAAGAAGGCAACAAGGGCAACAAAGCCCTTGTCAATCCATGTTTTTGAAACATGTCAAAAAACATGCATGTCATGCCAAGTGGAATTATCCAGTCTCATGACATGAAATTGACATGACGGAACATTTCAACTAACCCTACAACAGGGGGAGAAGGTGGAAACCGAACCACTCCAGCCTAACTCCATTGGACATCCGAAGTCCTCCAAACTAATGGATCTATGTCAACTGGCTGGACCAGATACTGTACAGACGCAAGATGAGATATCCGAATCTCAGATCGTTGACTTCCCCCCGATACAATGAAAAAAGGTGTGGAGTGCAGCTGCGTGATGTTCAGCTTCCTTACATGGTCGACACACATGATAGAGATTGTGAACTTTTTCATCAGAAGTTTTTAGGATCAAAGGATAGGTGACAAGAACAGTTTCGACCAACAATTACGCAACTTTAATTGGGTTCCCTTGTTGAGTAGCCGCTGGTCAGCCAGGGAAGTGCTATTTTTGGGCTTAGGAAACTGAACACTGACTTTGCAAAAATCATTTTAGCATAGGACCGAAGTCATTAGACTTGGAAGGAGGTTCCCGGGGACCAATTCGGAGACCATACGTTCCCAATAGTGATTGCATGATTAGCAGTTTACGGACAGACAGAATTGTGGGTTTCTGTTCAGATCGGACAAAGTCACCAATGAAACTTACTTGTTGTTGATGTTGTATTAAACTTGAGACCCAACTTGTTTTGAAACATGTTGAAACCAGTTCACAGAGTTCACGGAACCGCAAGCGACACTTGGGTTTATCGGTGGACAGGACACCATGCACTTTGTTTTGCCGTGGGTTTCGCTGCCGTTTGGTTCAGCGCATTTGGAGTTGCGGCGCCTACACAGCGATCGCGATCGTGTTTCTCTCGCCCGGAAGTTTCTGGTGGAAAAAAACTGTCTGTTTGAAGTTGTCGAATTTTTTCATGGTCATATCGGACTGATCTCATTGATGTTTGTCGATTTCGGCTTTTGAAATCAGAAATTTGGGAACTTCCGGAGAGCGCGATATCGTGTTGTTGTGAGCTTGTGCTCCACACGCAGCTAGGGTGCCCAGAGGTCCAGAGGTCAACAGGCTGTGGATTCCATGGGGGATCCCGTCAGCATCGTTGTTTCAATGGTCATCCATGACGACTGGATGATTTTGGGGGTATCCCGGTATCCCCCAAAAATTTCCGAGTTGCTGATCAATTTGAAAATAAGGGCAGTATCCCCTGCTCAGCAAAGGGGGAAAAAGTGACAGCTTAAACCTGGCCTTGGGAGAGCCACCAGTAGCCTGCAGTACCAGACAGTCAGGGAGTCAGGGAGGAAATGAACGCATGTGCTAGGCAAATTCACATATTTAGACCAAACTGGTTGTCCCCAAGCATGTCACGAATGATTTTAACATGACCCTAGCTGCCATGTGAAAATTCAGCACAAAACTTAGAAATCTCACTGAAACAATGCAGAATCAGTATGAAAATTCCGTCTAGATGTTATCCTAAACACTTGAATTCAGGCGATCTTTTTATACATTTGTTACATTTTTTTTCCTTCAATTTCAGATTTGGGAAACGTCAAAATGATCGCCTGAAAGACGTGTCCTTTTTTGACCAAATTCAATGCTTGTGGTCGTTGCCGTGTGAGGTAAGCACGAATATGGCTTTTGCAGCCACAACCAACAAGCCCATGCGCAACCTGAACAAGGCAGGACAGCAAGAATGTCCAAAAATTATATGGACTCAAATTTGACTCAACAACAGTGAGTTTCTGCAATCTAGATACATGAAAACATTTGAGACATCTCAATATTAGTCAAACATTTTTTTGGTTTATATATATCATATATATATATATATCATTTTATATCTCCCGATTGTGATACTCAAATCTCAGCCAATGATTCTTGGTGTTTCCCCATGTCAGCCCCTGCCAACAGCCTAGAGGTGTCTGGCGGAGCTTTGGAAGAATGGCAAAAAACAGCAAAGGAAGATGGGTCTGGAAGCTCAACCGATGGCAGCCGATGGCAGCCGGAATGGGAATGGGAAAATTGTAGGTAAATGGTAGGTGAATGGTAGGTGAATGGGAATTTGTTCAGGAAATTTTGCAAAATTGCAGTTCTTATGGTAGTTGTGATACGAATATTTTAAGAGCAATTTCTGAGGATTAGTTGGCAACCTCTCAAGTAATAGGGTTTAGTCTCATCCGGGGTTAAATTTATTCACTCCAAAAAGTCCAGTCCAAAACTGAGCGGTGACCCAATTGACGTTATTCTAGGGGGATTGGACAAAAAACCTGGTTTATTGGTGATTATGAACTGAACAAATCATGGAAGTTCTCAACTACCCAACATAAAGGGATGACATTTCGAACTTCTTTCGGTCTCAAGTTGGTTCACAGGTCGGTCAGCAACAGCAGCAGCACGACCACTGGTCGTGGGTCATCAGTCTACGACGAGAGCGAGGCGAAGATCCTGTCGGTCGAGGTTTGACACGTGCCCAAGACTAGGGATACTGGCCGAATTTGGCACTTCAAAGAGGCACTTTCTGGAAAATGGTTGGACAATTGGGAATTTCACTGTTTTAATGGGGGTTTTATTGGGGAAATGGTTGGAACATCACGGTTGCTCCAAGCTATTGTAGGAAAGGGATTACCACAAAGGGGTTTCATGGGTGATTCCACTTCTATACTTCGCCAATTTGCCCGCAGACGTATCTGATGCACCAGCCCGCACAAGGGGTGGGGGTGAACCTAGTAATTACCCTCTGATAATCAAACATGGCGACTGTAGATGGGACATCCATGAACTATTGGCAATCATTATATGTGAAAATCATCAAACTAATTGGCAGATTTTCCATTGCCATGTTTTATTACCAGAGGGTACCTGGGAAAAAACCAAGTTAGTAGGGCTTTTGGCAAAGTGCACTTCTAGACAAACAACTGGCACGGTGGCACCGATGCTTTAAGTGAAGCTTTGGTTTGGGAGATTTTGTGCGCCATCAGAGTGTGGTGAGTGAAGCTTGCACTGTAATTTGACCCATATCTTCGGAAAATACCTGAAATGAAGAGAACATCAAATGTGTTCGTTTCAAATCCTAGGTTTGGGCTGCGGTTGAACATGGACCGAGATAAATTCACCTACAGTACCATAAACGGACTGTTTGATTGGTCGTTGAGTGGGTGCCAAGAGCAGCAAGCAATTGCGAGTGCCTCATGGTCGTCTTTTTCAGTGGTCATCCCCTTTTGCCAGACTTATTTGCGTTTGGCAGTGGTTGGCAAAGAACGATTATACCCTCTGGTAAACTAACATGGCTATTGAAAATTGCCATTTATAGTGGATTTACCCATTAAAAATAGTGATTTTCCATAGCTATGTTGGTTTACCAGAGGGTATTTGATACGGACTTGGACAAAGTTGAAGGATGCCGACGAATCCGGACTTGGGGAATCTGATGCATTGGACAGTCGAATGTTCTGACCAAAAAATCATTGAGAGGCGATGAGCAGTTTTCCCAAAGTGGCCGTGTTAATGCAATAAACCAAATACTAAATGTGGGCATGGCTTATTGTCGGGTTTACCTCATCAATAAGATAGTTACTGTTACATGTCATTGATCCACCATTTTTCCTGCTTAACTTCCCTATTTTCCAAGGTTAAAACCACCCATTTACCTTTGTTCATTCCTCACTTTGTTTCGTGTGGTCGTGAGGCGAATAAGGCACGCAATGATGGCAGCGGCAGCAGCAATGACAGTGGCTCAACAGTGAAGGCAATCCGACCGTGCAAATCGTGCCGATTCTTCTCACGAGTTTAACATGGAAATACTCTATAATGTGGGGCCCCGGTGTACGATAGTTAATTTGATGAACATAACTCCAATTTCAGTATGGTTTATGGTACTCATAACATCTTATAACTATAGTTCCTGGGTTTTACAATGCAACTTATAACTGCAAGGCTCCAGATTCTAGGTAAGTGCTCATGGGTACTGATGAGATATAACACCAACAATAATATTTGGATTTTGTCCTGAAATCCAATGGTTGAGAAAATGATGCTTCCCATTATCTGATGACCATAACTGGGGGGATACCCGATTTCAGACATGCCCACTTTCCACTAGAGTGTTTTCCAACCAAAAGATCAGTGAGATGTTGCTGTGGTCTTTAACTTGGATGACCATGAATTGGGACCGTTAGGGTAAAACTCCTGGCTTGGATCGGATGCTTTGCAATGTCTGGGTGCAGTGTACCTGCACTTTTTGGTCAGGGATCAACCACATTGAAACCAGAAACCAGAAAATTCCATCAGGGAAGCGTGGATAGTCAGCGCCGTTGGTTCCGGAATAACATTGATTCCATTTTGGTTCCGGATGACTGGACATGTGAAGGAGTATTCATAAGTATTTGATTGTCACTAGAGATATGTCATATGTGTAGACAAGTCTGATATTTTTACGGTATCTATAGGGCAGGAATCAATACACTTTGGTGTCGTGAGGGCACTGGCAATGGGCTAGCCAAAAACACCGCATAGATCGGCAAAGATCGGGAAAATCATGGTTGATCTCGCTACGACACCAGAATTTCCATAGAATTTCCATGTTTTTGCGCCCAGCTAAGACTTGGGTCTTCCCCGATTGCCGTCTTTGGAGGCCTACAAGGAATCGACTCAGGATGAAAGCTGCAGTTCCGGCTCTCGAAGCGAACAAGCACAGTGCGAGGCATGGGTCGGTGCTGTCCCTGGCCGGTGCTGATAGTTGTATATGTGTGTATATGTATATATATATATGAGATAGTTTTATATATGGCTACCATTGGAGTTTGGACCTTTCTACTTTTTCATTGTGAGCTGCTATGAATTGTTCAATTCTTAGATGATGTCAGAAAACTAGAATTCGGGTGTTTTCGAATGATTTTGCTATGCCGATTGCTGAGATTCAGGAAGTTCCATGTCTGCAACAGCAGTGAGCCAGTCCACTGGCAGGTGATTACTCTGGATCTCCCAGTGGGTAAGAACCAAACATCTAACCCGCGAGTTATGGGTTATTCTGTTATTCTCCACTTGCTACAAATGGGCGCACTTCCCCAGTTGTCTTTGCCGTTCTGATTTGCTGCACATTTTCTCAACGGGTTTTTCATTTTGTACCCCAAAGACAAGAGGTTTCCACACCAAGACAGACACCATGTTTGTTGATCAACAAGTCCTTTTTCTGAGGCATCCGCCAGCATAGGATCGATGGAACAGACCCTTCTGCTGAAAAACGTTCCACTGGTGGACAACAACAACTTAGACTAAGGCTGACTAAGGTGACTGTCAGCGGGTGTTGCCAAGGTGTTTTCTGAACTTTCGCGAGGCGACTAAGGTGACCCCTAGAGAAAGATCACCGCGATTCGCGGTGATCCTACTAAGGTGACTGTGACAGTCACAGATTCACAGGTTCTCTCAGGCGACTGATCTGGCCAGGATTCAGAACAACCGAAGCAACAAAATTTGCTGAAGACTGTGGCGGACTCAGAATGTAAAAAAGGGACCGTTGAGAGACAACGGGTAGTCCGATGCAGGTCATCACGTTGTGACTTCGCTATGTTTTTTTCTTAGATGGCTTTGAAAGTGTGCTTGTGCCACACTTTTCGAAAAAGGCGGGAAGACCCAAAGTGGTGTACTTGAGGTTGGTGCCATGTTCTGCGAATGAGGATTTCAGGGTTGGAGCTTGGACATCCACAAGATAGATTTCGATCATGGCATATCATGGCCCATGAAGAAATCCTCCGGCTTCCAAAAAACATCATATTCCCCCTTAGTGGTCATTTTTTGGGGGGTTCTGTGGTAAATCCCCCAATTCCTGGAGAACATCCATGTGTCACGTCGCTACCGCGCTGCACCGTCGCAGCCGTCGCAGCCGTCTTCACTCCACAGCACCGCTGTTTGGCGCGCGGTGGTCGCCCCTCACACCATGGCCCGGGACGATGAGCGTGAGGAGCGCGACCGCGAACGCGGTGACCGAAAGGAGAAGAAGGAGACCCGGGGCGCCGGCCTGGGGCCTGGGCGCCGGGCAGGGGATTTCACCAGAGGGAGATAAACCATGGGTTTTACATGGTTGGAGTTGGACCCTCTATAAATGGTGAGTTTTGATGGAGATCTTTATGGAATATTGGAAATTTGGAAAAGGCAAATGGGAAATCCCTGAACCAAATGGAGGTTTATAGTTTATAGCTGGGTATTGCTGGGGGATTTTCGTAGTCGTAGTCGGAATTCTTGACCATTGAATTTGGGATCCAAAATTGATGAACTTTCCACGAGACAAGTGGAAATTGTATGAAATTGGGGTGAGAAGGGGCGTTTTTGACGCCACCAATCTTGGACAATTGCTTGTGTTTTTGATGGCAAAGTGTGTCTGACAGCCACATTTTCTCTCAGAAAATGCTTAGCACCCGGCTGCCGGTTGTGCCTTGTCTGATTGCTCAGCAGGAAAAGAAGAAGAGGTGACCCGACTAGGGCATTCTGCTTGTTTGAGTGGCTGCTGGAGTGTTTTTCAGGTCTTGTTGAAACCAACGAATCGGCGGTGGCTGAACACCGTTGTGACCAATTCGACAGTGAAACCCAAAAACCATCCCAAAGTGGAAAGTAATGTGGGTAAAACGATACACCACCCATGTCTGGGAATGGTGCAATAAACCACCTATAAAAATGGTGATGACTGGGGGATGGTGCAAATGGCATTGTTTTAATTACCCACATTATATGATTTACATTCCAAATTCGGATCACAAAGGCGAGACACATGTTATGCGGCCCGACTGGCTTCCATCAAGGGGTCGAGGATGGGTTTTGCTGCAAACTAACTGACTCCATTCATTCATTCATTCAATCATTCATTCATCCATCCATCCATCCATTCATTCATTCATTCACTCATTCATTCATCCATCCATCCATTCATTCATTCATTCATCCTTCCATCCATCCATTCATTCATTCATCCATCCATCCATTCATTCATTCATCCATCCATCCTTCCATCCATCCATTCATTCATTCATCCATTCATTCATTCATCCATCCATCCATTCATTCATTCATTCACTCACTCATTCATTCATCCATCCATCCATCCATTCATTCATTCATCCATCCATCCATTCATTCATTCATCCATCCATTCATTCATTCATTCATTCATCCATCCATTCATTCATCCATCCATCCATTCATTCATTCATCCATCCATCCTTCCATCCATCCATTCATTCATTCATCCATCCTTCCATCCATCCATTCATTCATTCATCCATTCATTCATTCATCCATCCATCCATTCATTCATTCATTCATTCACTCATTCATTCATCCATCCATCCATTCATTCATTCATCCATCCACCCATTCATTCATTCATCCATCCATTCATTCATTCATTCATCCATCCATCCTTCCATCCATCCATTCATTCATTCATTCATCCATCCTTCCATCCATTCATTCATCCATTCATCCATTCATCCATTCATTCATTCATTCATCCATCCATCCATTCATTCATTCATTCAATCATTCATTCATTCATCCATCCATTCATTCACTCACTCATTCATTCATCCATCCATCCATCCATTCATTCATTCATCCATCCATCCATTCATTCATTCATTCATCCATCCATCCATTCATTCATTCATCCATCCATCCACTCATTCATTCATTCATCCATCCTTCCATCCATCCATTCATTCATTCATTCATCCATCCTTCCATCCATCCATTCATTCATTCATTCATCCATTCATTCATTCATTCATCCATCCATTTATTCATTCATTCATTCATTCATTCATTCATTCATTCATGCATTCATGCATTCATGCATTCATGCATTCATGCATTCATGCATTCATGCATTCATTCTTGCATTCATTCATTCATTCATTCATTCATGCATTCATTCATTCATCGATTTATTCATGCGTGCATTCATTCATTCATTCATTCATTCATGCATTCATTCATGCATTCATTCATTCATCCATTCATTCATTCATGCATTCATTCGTTCATTTATTCATCCATCCATTCATTCATTCATGCATTCATTCATTCATCCATCCATCCATGCATGCTTTCATTCATTCCTTCCTTCCTTCATTCATTCATTCATGCATTCATTCGTTCATTCATTCATTCATCCATCCATCCATGCATTCATTCATTCATTCATGCATGCATGCATTCATTCATTCATTCATTCCTTCATTCATTCATTCATGCATTCATTCATGCATTCATTTATTCATTCATTCATGCATGCATTCGTTCGTTCGTTCGTTCATTCATTCATTCAAAGCCAATTTCTTTTTCAGCACTTGAGGTTCAGATCAACTCAGATCAACAAGACCCATCTGGTTATGGTCAGAACCTATGAAATTACCATATTTTGGGGCATCAACATCCATGAACCAACTATTTTAGGGTACCGTCCGGGTACTGTTTGGTTTTGACCCATAGCAATGTATCGGCCTGAAATTACCCAGCTCTCCTAGAGACCCGCTGTTGAACCCCCTCTTGGACCTGCATCGCAGTCATCGGTGAACATAGCATATGTAACATTTTACAACCCCTATTATTGCACATAAGAACCAACCGACATATATGGAATAGTGTCAGTGTGGGACACCCAATGCCATAAACGTAGCATTTGGGGATCTTTTTTTTTGGCCCCAATAAATGGTGATGACTTGGGGATGGTACAGATGACAGGTTTACCAGCTCCGGCAGGCGAAGCGCGTCCTCGGAATCTGCCGAACGAAGCCGGGAGCGCGAGAAGCGACGCCGTAAGCAGCAGCAGCAGGTGCTGCTGGGCTGGCCTTAGGCATTTCTTAAGTCATGGCAGAGTCATAGTCATCCATGACTTGAATGATGCAAGGGGGTACCCATGACTTAAGAAACCGCCAAATGGCAGTAAGTTTCAAGCGTTTTTAGTTGGATTCGGAAAGGAAAGATGTGACCAACCTGGGTTTGTCTGAAAAATTTGGGAACCCATGGAACCCCAAAATCTACAGAACAGGCCACTGTGGGAGTGCGCAAATTGCAGCATTTCCTGTGCAAAGATCCAACAGCATATGGCGCAACCGGACAAAATTGAATTCCATTCCTCTCTGCTGTTCATTGGCTGAATGCACTATGTCATAGCAAACATTGCTGTACTGTAGTGTATCGACCTTGCTTCTAGTGCAACCACTGACAGTGCCTGGCAATCTCTGCTTGGCACATCTGCAATGGCTATCCACACACAAACCAAAAAACCAAAAAACCAAAAAACCAAAAAACCAAAAAACCAAAAAAACAAAAAAAACCAAAAAGACAAGACCCAACACTCTGCATCTGACCCCCTCCCCTTGGGGTGTGCAATCTTGTTTTTTTTGGTTTTTTGTTTTTTTGGTTTCTTGGTTTTTTGGTTTTTGCCTGCCCGACCTCTAGTGCAACCACTGACAGTGCCTGGCAATCTCTGCTTGGCACATCTGCAATGGCTATCCACACACAAACCAAAAAACCAAAAAACCAAAAAACCAAAAAACCAAAAAAACAAAAAACCAAAAAAACCAAAAAAACCAAAAAAACCAAAAAGACAAGACCCAACACTCTGCATCTGACCCCCTCCCCTTGGGGTGTGCAATCTTGGTTTTTTTGGTTTTTTTGGTTTTTTGGTTTGTGTGTGGATAGCCCAGACCTTGCCCATGGGTCTGAACTTTTTTTTTGTGTTCTCGAGGTTTTTGGCCAAACTGCAAAAAACCATGGAAAAACCAAAAAAACAAAAAGTTCAGACCCATGTCCCCTGCCAGGCCTCTCCCAGACCTTGCCCATGGGTCTGAACTTTTTTTTGTTTTTCCATTGTTGTTTTGAATGTTTTTCATGTGAAGATGCTTTCATCACAGTACCTCTCAAAAAAATGCGCGTCTCTACAATTTGCACACCTGCGCCCCCCAGGCCAAACTGCAAAAAAAAACCATGGAAAAACCAAAATTCATTAATGACTTATATAATGACTAATATAATGATTAATGTAATGACTTATTTTTTCAAGAATATAATGATTAATAAAATGATTAATATAATGATTAATATAATGATTAATAAAATGATAAATAAAATGATCAATATCATGATGAATATAATGATTTATATAATGATTAATTTAATGATTATTAAAATGAAGAATTTAATGATTAATATTATGATTATTATCATGATTCATATAATGATTAATGTAATGGTTCATATAATGCCTAATGCAATGACTAATATAATTCATATAATGATTAATATAATGATTCATATAATGATAAATATAGTGCTCATTTCAATCATTATATTAATCATTATCTTAGTCATTATAAAAGTCATTAAATAAATCATGAAATGAATCACTAAATTAATCATTATATGAATCATTATATTAATCATTATATGAATTATATTAGTCATTGCATTAGGCATTATATGAACCATTACATTAATCATTATATGAATCATGATAATAATCATGATATTAATCATTAAACTCTTCATTCTAATAACCATTAAATTAATCATTTTATTAATCATTATAATGATCATGATGTTGATCATTTTATTAATCATTATATTGATCATTATATTAGTCATTATATGAATTACTATTTTAATCATTATATTAATCAGTATATTAATCATTATATCAATCATTATACTAATCATTTTAACATTCATTATATTAGCCATTGTATTTATCATTATATTAGTCATTAAATTCATCATTAAATTCATCATTATATTAATCATTTTATTAATCATTACATTACTCATTATACAAACTCATTAAATTAGTCAGTATTTTACTCATGATATTATAATCATTGTATTCATCATAATAGTAATCATTATATTAATCATTCTTAAAATATATTCATGATACTAGTCATTATAAAAGTCATTAAATGAATCATGAAAAGAATAATTATATTTATCATTAAATGAATCATTATATTAATCATTTTATTAATCATTATATGAATCATGATATTAATCATTAAATTAGTCAATAAATTAACAAGTATATCAGCCATTACAAAAATCATTATATTTATCATTATATTAGTCATTATAAAAGTCATTAAATAAATCATTTTGTAATGGCTGATATACTTGTTAATTTATTGACTAATATAATGATTAATATAATGATATATATATAATGACTAATATAATGATTAATAAAATGATTAAAATAATGAATTATTTAATGACTGATATAATGATGATTCATTTTATGATTCATTTGATGATTAATATAATGATTCATAGAATGATTCATATAATGATTCATATAATGATTTATTTAATGACTTATATAATGACTAATATAATGACTAATATAATGATTAATGTAATGACTGCATGGAAAAAAGTGCACTCCCACAGCGGCCAGCTCTCAAAATCTAATGGTTGATCAGCATTTTCACCTAAAACATGGAAATTGCTATGATTTGAGTAGTTGTCGTAGTTGTAGTTGTAGTTGTAGTTGTAGTTGTAGTTGTTGTAGTAGTAGTAGTAGTTGTTGTTGTTGTTGTTGGCCAACAATGCCAAATAAAGTGATATAGAGTGATACCAGGTGGAACTCCAAATCTTGGTAACCAACACACATGCTGATGGAAGATTTTCTATGTAATTATATACCCTCTGGTTCTTTAACGTAGCTATGGAAAATAACAATGTTTAATAAATTTAATAGTTGAATAGGCTAGGTAAATCATCAGACATTTCCTATAAATGGACCATTTTCCATAGCTATGCTAAACGACCAGGGTAGATATGTAACTTAATCAGTAGAATTGAAGGGAACATTGGTGGATCCCGTTGTTTCCACAACATGACCCGCCATGTCCCGCCCGAGTTCCCGTCAGCGCCAGGTGGTCAACAAGAACAGAAAGGCTGGCGAAGGAGGCGTAGGTGCGGCTGTGCGAAAGAGTTGGGTTGTTGTGGGTCAGTGGTTGCGATCATCCCCAATGACTTGCCATGTCTAATTGTGGGACTGAAACCACAAATTTTCAGATGGCTGGTTTATGACATTGCAAGCTACTCACATTCAGATTTTGGTTCCTCTCACGTTGCGGGCCTCACAGATGTCGAAATATCTAACATTTGGGATATGTATCCCTTTGAGGGAGGGTTGGTGGATTCACATGGCACAATCATGTTGTTGTGAACTTGAAGGGAAACATGTGTGATTGAGTTGGTATGATTGGACAGGTGATTGGACAGGTTATAGTCCGTCACCGACAGAGAGCTAGTGTTTTTTTTTCTCCGTGGGAATCTTACTTTGTGGCCTTCCTACACATTGTAGCTCGTTGTTGGCGGCTCGGTCTGTGCCTTTACTTTTCCCAAATCTGGGGTACATGGAGGTGTCATCATATGCGAAGAAATTCAATAGGTGAGTTATCAACCACCAGGTCGGCCCCCCAGTTGTTTTTGTTGGTTTGCAATCGTATTCTCAAACCCCTACAGTTAACTTTTCGTTACAAGTCTCAACTTAGCTAACATCATAAAACAAGGAGCTGCCCTCCATTTTTCTTGGTGAAATCAGCATTTTTGAAGTTGGGCAGCGGGCAGCTCCTCCGCGACAGGTGGACAGAGTATGTTTTGGGATGGCTTCCAATGGGTGCCAAGGGCCGACACGGGAATTACCAATGACATCAACGCCTCGCGCAAGAACAGGCCGGGGCCCCATTGGCCTGGCGGATCAAACCTCCAGAAGATGGCTTTGTTTCAGAAGATAGGGGATAATGTAGGCATATAACCACTTTAATAATAGGGAATAGTAGCCTCTGGTAAATGGTAGTAATAATATATGGGAAAATGATGATCATGTATCAATAAATAGCCTGAATAGCCATCTTACTAGCCATCTTAATAGGGAAAATGATGGAAAATGATGATCATCAAAGCCATAATATTGAACCGTGGCTTTCTGGAGAAGCAGAGTTGCTCACTTATCCAATCGAAGACATGTTCAGGACACAGCTGGCTTGGAATGGACATTCCTTGGTTTTTATTGATGGAGTTCCCGGCAAACCTGATAAGCCTCCAGCAGCACGAAACATGTTCCAAGAATCACCCCCAAGATACCAAATCCCAGCGCTTCAATGAGCACATCCAGGATCACTTAATCTTGGTCCTTGGCCAAATTTTAGAGGCATATGAATAGATTTCATGGATTGCATGGATAGATTCCCTCAGATTTTTGCCCAACATGTCCATCATTTTTCCGCGACCCCCATCGATCGTTGCAGGCGTTTGTACCTGGGCAACTTGCCATACCACCTGGGCGTCACCGAGGACGAAGATGCAATTTGTATATGCGGATATATATATATATATACATATAATTATATATATATATATGTGTGTAATGTAGTGCGGTGTAGTGTAGTGCAGTGTAATGTAATGTAATGCAATGTAATGTAGTGTAATGTAATGTCCGTATGTATGTGTGTATGTATGTGTGTATGTATGTGTGTATGTATGTGTGTATGTATGTGTGTATGTATGTGTATGTATTATGTATGTTAGTTATGGTATGTATGTATGTTAGTTATAGTATGTTTGTAGGTTAGTTATTGTATGTATGTTATGTTATGTTACGTTACGTTACGTTATATTATGTATGTATGTTATGTTATGTTATGTTATGTTATGTTATGTTATTATGTATGTATGTATGTATGTATGTTAGTTGTGGTATGTATGTATGTTATGTTATGTTATGTTATGTTATGTTAGTATTTATGTATGTATGTATGTATGTATATGTATGTATATGTATGTATATGTATGTATATGTATGTATATGTATGTATATGTATGTATATGTACGTATATGTATGTATGGTTATGTATGGTTATGTATGGTTATGTATGGTTATGTATGGTTATGTATGGTTATGTATGGTTATGTATGGTTATGTATGGTTATGTATGGTTGTGTATGGTTATGTATGGTTATGTATGGTTATGTATGGTTATGTATGGTTATGTATGGTTATGTATGGTTATGTATGGTTATGTATGTTAATGTAATGTTATGTAATGTTATGTAATGTTATGATTCGCATGTTATGCATGTAATGTATATTATGTATGTTATGTATGTCATGTATGTCCTGTATGTCATGTACGTGATGTATGTGATGCATGTAATGTATCTAATGTATGTAATGAACGTAATGTATGTTATGTATGTGATGTATGTAATATGTATGGAATATGTATGTAATGTATGTATGTATGTATGTATGCATGTTATGTATGTTGTGTATGTTATGTATGTTATATATGTTATGTATGTATTGTATGTAATGTATGTAATGCATGTAATGTATGTAATGTATGTACTGTATGTAATGTATGTAATGTATGTAATGTATGTTCTCTATGTTTTGCATGTAAAGCGTAAAATGCATGTAATGTAATAAATACAATGCATGTAATGGATGTAATGCATGTAAGGCATATAATGTATGTAATGGATGTAATTGATGTAATGGATGTAATGGATGTAATGTATGTAATGTATGCAATGTATGTAATGTATGTAATGTACGTAATAAATGGTATGTATGTTCTGTATGTTCTGCATTTTCTGTATGTTCTGTATGTTATGTATGTTATGTCTGTTATGGTATGTTATGTTATGGTATGGTATGAAATGGATGTATGTATGTATGTTTGTAATGTACGTATGTAATAAATGTATGTATGTAATTAATGTATGTATGTAATTAATGTATGTATGTAATTAATGTATGTATGTAATGAACGTATGTATTTCAATTAATGTATGTATGTAATTAATTTTTGTATGTAATGAATGTATGTGCTGTATGTAATTAAAGTATGTATGTAATTAATGTATGTATGTATGTAATGCTATGTATGTAATGGTATGTATGTAGTGGATTGTAGTGGTATGTATGTAATGGTATGTATGTAATGGTATTTACATATGTATGTATGTTTGTTATGGTATGTAAAGTTATGGTATGTATGTATGTTCTGTTATGTTATGTTATGTAATGTAATGTAAGGTAATGTATATAATGCAATGTAATGTAATGTAATGTAATGTAATGGTATGTATGTATTGTATGATTGTATGTATGTATGTATGTCTGTATGTCTGTATGTCTGTATGTCTGTATGTCTGTATGTATGTATGTATGGATGTATGCATGTATGTATGTATGTACGTATGGATGTATGCATGTATGCATGTATGCATGTATGCATGCATGTAATGGTATGTATGTAATGGTATATATGTTATGGTATGTATGGTATTTTATGGTATGGTGTGGTATTGTATTGTATGGTATGGTATGGTATGTATGGTATGGCATGGTATGGTGTGGTGTGGTGTGGTATTGTATTGTATGGTATGTATGGTATGGTGTGGTGTGGTATTGTATTGTATTGTATTGTATTGTATTGTATGGTATGTATGTATAGAGACTATATACATACATCCACGCATGCATTGCATTACATTACACTGTAGTGCATTGATTATTGCATTGCATTGCATTATGCTACACTACAGAACATTACATACATATGATGTATGAACATATTTGTCGTATATGTGTATATACGTATAGATATATACATATTCATCTACATATGTGAAGATGTGCATATGCATGTAATGCACATATACACGGGTGAACTTATTCAGTATGTGTAGGTTAATACTTACAAAAAGTCAATCGGCAAGATAGCTATTCTTATGAACGGTCGCGGTTAGCCACTGCATTGTACACGATTTTCTTAGGTTGACAAGATGCGTAGTGGCATCCATTTCCTCAGGCATTGACCAGCCATTTCGCAGCAATTTTTTCGCCTCCCATTTCGGTCCAGCAATTTTGGTCCGTGTGAGGACTCCTTTTCCAAGCAGCTGTACGAGACGATGCGTGATCGAAGCATGTGCAACGATCCGACGCCTGGCTGAAAGGCCGAAAGGCCTTTTCGGCAATGGCAAATCCAAGTCGGAAATAAATTCTTCATAATGATACTCAGATGATACTGATAGTTGTAATTGGAATCATAGTTGGAATAGCAATAATAATGGGAATAGTTAATAATAGTAATAATATTTGTAAATAGTTGGAAATAAGCATAATAGTAATTGGAATTGTTCCAATATGGAGGCATGTAATACTAATTGTAAATATTCCAATTTACTACTATCATGTTGAGTCATTTTTTGGAACATAATGATTGGAAACAAACACAATAGTAATGATCATGTAATACTCGCAATAATTTTGATGACATCATGTAGTAGAATAACCATAATAATCATAACTGGAACATAAACATGTAATGCTGAAATTAATAGTAAGGATTGGCAAACGCTACTGATAGTGATAGTGATACATGATAGGAATAGCAGCTAATGACAAAAACGACATTTAGATTGACGGTTTTATACTATAAACCACTTGCGAAGCGGGATGCACATCTATATGAACACCAATCAGATTGACAACCCAAACTGGTCGATGGTTGTTTACTTACATCAATGGATTGGTTTCAGGGAAAATTTAGAGGAAAACCCCATAATTCATGGGAACACCTATGGTGTCCGGTTCAGACTTTGCCGACTAAACCAATCCATTGATTACACCATTGGCTTGGCTCAGGGTTGGCACTGGAGCTATTGCACTGAAGCCTCCCATGGGGTGAATTCCTAGCTATTTCTAGGGGTTGGAGATGCTATGGTGTTGGCTTTACAATGCGTAGCTATCAATATCAAACATCCATAAACATCCCAATGAATCTCTCCTAAACTGCACAGTTCCGCTATGAGAATCACCCCAGGAATTACAGTACTTGGAGAATCATCCCAGGAATCATCGGTAGTAGCCATAGTCTACCATAGTTGGTTCGGTCATTTCTAGGATAAGCCACGAATTGTGGACTTACAAACCCCAGGGGACGTGCCCCTCCCCTCTTTCTGGGACATACCCTCGCGGCGTCATCAAACCTGGAAAATCCATTTTAATGATTTTCCCATCGAACTAACATCATTTTTGACATCCATGGCTATCCACATTTAATCCATGAGTTCGAGGGTACAAAAATAACGGGTAACCCAGGTGTTTTTTTATCTATCCACAGCCACCCGCAGCTGGGGGGATGATCCTGTGGGTTGAGGAATCAGAACCCTGTGCTGCACGTGTGGTTCGCGCGTGACAAAGGTCCGATTCTCGGGTAAACAGTCCCCATTTTGGGTAGTAGGGGGGTAACTGGTTAACAATCAAAACCACTTTTAATGAACATTTATTTATGGGATATAATGGGGATATCCTTTGGTAATTGAATTGTTTTCATTTGTTGAGGTGCATTGGTGTACAGTGTTCTGACCTTGTTTGAGTTTGACAAATCCAACAGATGTTTGCCAGAAAAGTGTGTGCTTCGAATAGCTTCGATGTCCGGGGTGCCTGCACTTGATTGCAACTCTCTGAATTCGACCCTGCAAGAATGCTGATGTATAGCCACTTGCACGTCAACTTCGTTGAACACCTTGGCCCCACACCCATTTCATACCTCTCAGGGCAAAAGCCAATCGGCATCAAACGGGTACTTTATCGGGCTTCATTTCTTGCGTGGGGTGTTGATTGCACATTTTCTGTCCCGTCCATGGTTGATCCTGCTGCTTCTGCTCCAATTTCGGTACAGTATCTTTTCCTCGATTCCCAACTTATTGGGGGGTCACCCCAAAGATACTTCATGGCCATAAGTTAGGTGTTTTACTCTCAACTTGTCCAGTGCCAAGTTCTCAGGCGCCAACTACGGTTTCTGCGAGATCGCGTCTCAGGAAGAGACTGAAAGGGTTCCTCGGAGATTCTGCCAGGATCATTTACAGGGGGTTCGCCATCAAACATGTTGATTTAGTAGCCATCAAAAATGGTGATTTCGTGGAATTTGTATTGGAATTTCATATATTTCATGGGATACATTGCGCGGTATCCTCTGGTAATTTGACAGTTTGCGAACTGGAAAATCATCATTCTTAATGGCTAGATCATCGAAGAATTCATGCATCCCCGAGTCCATCAAAAGATAGGTGGAAAACAACAATCCCCAACTGGACAACTTTGTTACACACAACTCTTTCACACACAACTTTGTCACACACAACCTTTCACACACACACAACTTTGTCACAAACAATCTGTCACACACACACAACTTTGTCACACACAACTCTTCACATACAACTTTTTGCAATTATCGATCCTCCACCATCTCCATTGTCCTTTATGCTTTCTCCGTGCCGCTTCAGCCACTTTTCTGATTATTGGAAGAAGTTGACTTGTGGATTATCCGGTCCTTTAATTTCTCGATCATTTTTTCAAATGCATAAAAGCATCAAAGCCAGACCCCATGAAATTCGTCGTGAACATCTCGCGGTGGATCATTATTTTCCGAGGATCATGGTTGGTCAAACATGTCCCCGTGAATATCGCATTAATATACCTACAACATCCCCGCAACTAAGCACCATGTTGGTGACACCCCGCAGCCATCAACCATCAACCAGGACAAGATAATAATGATAATATACCACTATCATGTAATTATATATGATTATGGTTGGTAAATGATATTCCCCAGCATTAGATCCCATTCATATTCCCATACAGCTCTCCAAAGCAATATCACCATCCAAACTCATCAATATCTCCATTATCATATATCAATCGATATCAACCTATACCAACTGTCATAAATCATGTATATATATATATATATCATATATCCCGTATATCCCATGAATATTCCCAACTATCTCCCCATATCGTTGGCCAAGGCTTTACAGCTGGATGGCATGTTGGTACTGGGAGTGCCCGTGTCCATCAAGCGGCCCAACGATGCCGTCAGCCCATTAGGCTGGGGACCCCGTTTGGGGGCTGTGAGGACTGTGAGGTGGGTGATTTGTTTCGCTATTAGTTGCATAGGTAGATAGATAGATGGATAGATAGAGGGATAGATAGATGGATGGATAGATGTATAGATAGATGGATAGATAGATGGATAAATAGATGGATAGATAGATAGGTAGATAGATAGATAGATAGATAGATGGATAGATCGATGGCTAGATAGACGGATAGATAGATGGATAGAAAGATAGATAGATGGATAGATGGATAGATCGATGGATAGATCGATAGATGGATAGATGGATGGATAGATAGATAGATGGATAGATAGATAGATAGATAGATGGATAGATAGATGGATAGATAGATAGATGGATAGATAGATAGATGGATAGATAGAAGGATAGATAGATGGAAAGATCGATAGATAGATGGATAGATAGATCGATGGATAGATGGATAGATAGATAGATGGATAGATAGAAGGATAGATAGATGGAAAGATCGATAGATGGATGGATAGATGGATAGATAGATAGGTAGATATATAGATGGGTAGATAGATGGATAGACAGATAGATAGATGGATAGATAGAGGGATAGATAGATGGATGGATAGATGTATAGATAGATGTATAGATAGATGGATAGATAGATGGATAGATCCATAGATAGATGGATAGATAGATTGATAGATAGATGGATAGATAGATGGATAGATCGATGGCTAGATAGATGGATAAATAGATGGATAGATAGATAGGTAGATAGATAGATGGATAGATAGATGGGTAGATAGATGGATAGATCGATAGATAGATGGATAGATAGGTGGATAGAACGATAGATAGATGGATAGATGGATAGATCGATGGATAGATCGATAGATGGATAGATAGATGGACATAGATAGATGGATGGATGGATGGATGGATAGGTAGATAGGTAGATAGGTAGATAGGTAGATAGATAGGTAGATAGATAGATAGATGGATAGATAGATAGATAGACAGAAATATGTGTATCCAATAAAGAAATCGATCTATCTATATGCATATCTATCAATTGAATATGGACGGGTTCCCAGCATAGCTAACTTGAGATGTAAGTGGCTGAATTCTGTGGCTTATGGTAGATATAATGAACTAGTTAATGGGGTTTGTAAACCAAAACACATCACTGGGGGGGCACCATCCTGGATACCTTTGTGGCAATTTAACATAGCTATGGAAAATCATCACTTTCAATAGGAAAACAATCCATACATGGGCCATTTCCCATAGCTATGTTGATTTACCGGAGGGTACAGTTGAAAACAACCATGTCCTATTGTGGGAGAATAGAAAGGCTGGTCTGGTATACCATTTATCATCACTTACTGTTGGTTGTACAGGGGGTCAACCCCTGTCTTAGTCAAACAACCAGTAAGAGCCGGACATCTATGCTTGGATATTTACACTTGGATTAGTTGGTTTATGTTCACCTATATATCCAACTGCATATCCACCTGATCAGCGCAAGTCAGACTATTAAGAAAACAATTTACCTACTGTTTGCATGGTCAACTTGGTGGGTATCCACAGCGGATGTTTTTCCACTGCTGATCCATCCTATGAAAATTGCGGGCAAAGAGCGTACCACGATCCACTTGGACGATGCTTGAAGAACTTGATCATTATTTGTTTCTGAAAATTTACGAGAACCCCCCCATAATCATTTTCTGGATAATCGGAAATAGTTGTTACATACATACGTGATATGTGTATTGATACCTATATATATATACACGACTAATATCCCCATGAAATTCCAGCCCTTTAAGGATTAGTTGGTTATTGTTCCTTTTTATGCACGGGCCCATGGCCCAATGGCCTTTGCAGTTTGCAGGAATGATTGGTGGAGTTCCAGTGGGCATGCAGATGCCTGGCCAGGGAGGCATGTTGGCCTTACCTTCAGCACAGGTCTCTTGGCCGACTGCAAAGGCAGCCGAAGCCGGGAAGTCTCATTGGACTTGACGACTCTTTGATAGACACTGAATGATATGAACCACATAGTACTCTTAGGTTTGTGTATGTATGTATATATTTCCACATAGTCACATAGAACTTAATCAAGTTCCATTGCCCTAGCCATGTTTGAAGTACTTTTGGTTTATTTAGAATCAAACCTAGAGTCATCAAATTTCTTCAGTGTATAGGGGCAATGCGACGAAGCGTGACCAATTGCTTCAGGGTGCTTTTGCCGGCCAAAGCAATGTAATTAAACTCCATGTGATGTATTTACCGTTTTCCGGTCCCCTGTTTCTACGATATATGTATATTCACAATAAGTCAACATCTATACATAAAAGAAAAGCAATATGTTTCAACATGAAGTTTGATTCAACATCAAGTTTGATAATATCAACCATATTGTAAATTGTTTTTAACATGTTTCAACGTTCATATTGTTATCAAACCATTGGTTTCATTGATAAACAAACATTAGCTAACCAGGTTAACCATTGATATTGGCTAATAATAATGTTCAAAACATGTTTCGCAAACCATTCATATAAGCCAGAACCTGAGGTCAGTGCGACCAGTCCCGTGATCCGCATTGATGAGATCTTGAAGGCGAATGAACGTGGCGTGGGATTTGCCCGAAAGCAACAAACATGGTGATTTCCTGGGATTTAATGTGATATGTATATATAGTACAGTACAGTATATATATATACACAGTATGTATATATATATATATATATACAGTATGTATATATATATATATGTATATATATATACAGTATGTATATATATACAGTATGTATATATATATATATGTATATATGCGAATGGGATGTAGGCTACGGTATGCAACACACTCCCATGTAAAATAGCCCCTAATCATCCACAGCCAAGGGTTGCATGTATGTGCCCCTTTGGCTCAAGACGCTGCTAGTTCCGCAGAAAAGGAAGCAATGCCGAAACCGCTGTTCGTTCGTCATCACTGGTGAGGGAAATCAGCAACCTTCTATAACATCCAAGAACATATAATCGGGGAGATAACCTCCGATTCACAGGTTATCAGCCGTAGGACTCCTACGGAGCCTATGAGCGGGTAGCTGCGGGCCTTACAGATGACTGAACAGGATAGCAGTGATAACGCATTTTCTTTCTCTGGACATGCCGTTGCACCAGCTGCCGGCACGCAGTCAAATTCTTCACAGAGTATCGACACTGGTGGAAGCGATGCCTCAGAACTGAGAACGAGCCTACCCAGGCGACCTCTGGTTGCTCCTAGAGGGAGACAAATTTCGACAATGCAAGCAATTGAAGATAGGGACAGCACACCTGGAAAGAGAAGATCATCTGCACGACAATTGTCGCCTCCGATGACTCCAAGGACTAAGGCAAAGACTACGTCGTCGAATCCGCCTTCACCGATTCAGGACGCTACTCCATCAGGGACAGGATCTTATCAGCAAGTGAACGCCCCATCGAGTGGTAGCGACATCTTCACTGCCTATCAGAGTGAACTAGCTGAATACAAGACATCACTGGAAAAAGCCACTGAAGAAGAATCCGTACTTCAGGCAAGATTGACCGAGACGACAGCATATGCCTATCAACAATTTAATTTCCTGGAAAGCACCACTCATCAAGAGATGATGTCGATGACTGAACAACTCCAGATGCTGAACTTCGAGTTACAGGCTGCACAACAAGAAGATGAAGGTGCAACCTACAGGATCGAAGAGTTGGAGAGGTATCAGACTATGTCGAATGAAGCTGCATCTCATTTGGAATTCAAATATTCACGACTACGTTCGGAATTCGATGAACAAATGGGACAAGCGAACGCAATTATGGTACATGTGGGCGCTGATGCGAATGCTCACATCAATCAACTCAGACTGGAACTAGAAAACGCAGAGATGAATGCAAAGCAAGAAGCTCTGGCGGTCGGCTACGCTAATGACCAGACATGTGCTTTACAGATCGAGATGCTCGAGGTTGCTAATCAGAACCAGACAATGAAGCACACCATGGCCATGAATGTCAGACGACTGGAAACTGAGCTCGATGCTGCTGACATGAAGAGGGACGAGATCATGAAGGAGTTCCGTAGTAACATAAGTAAGATCTGAACATGACCGCTATGCAGAATGTGAACATCACTTAGCTTTGGAAGAATCACAACTTCGATTGCAGGTGATCCACAATGAAAACTTACAATCTCGACTAGCGATTTCTGAGAGCAAGGTTTCTGAAGAATCTCTAGCTGAATCAAGTGGCATGCGGGACATGAGGATAATGGGACTACGTTCGGAACTACACATGAAACAAAGTCTTTTAGATCGAATGCAACAACAACTGACTGAATCGAAGAATCAGTATCATGAACTTTCCTGTCAACAAGCCAGAAGATCCTCGCCAAGCAGATCACCGCATGGAGCAGCACTATATGAGATGTATATGCAAGCCGTGCGTGAGCGTGACAACCTAAAGGAATCCAAGGCTGAAGTTGACAAGTTGTACTTACAGAACAGAACTGAACTCATTGACACTGAGAACCTGCTCGAAACCTTCCAGCAAAATGTCGATGAAACTGGTAAGAAGTATCAAGATGCTCTGAACAAGATCGATCACATGAGTAGCAATCCGAATGTGACGAGTAACTTGTTCGACAGTTTGCACAATGAAATCAATGACAGGGATACAGCTATTGCTCGCCTTCATACTGAACTTGAAGCCCAAAAGGATTCTCTTGAGCGTGCTCACAGGGATGCAGGTAAGTCCATCAAGATGTTGAACGACAGAAGACTCGTGATCAAAGGTGCGACTGACTATTCCATTCCTGAAAGCCACTTGACCGAGATGCATCAATTGGCTAGTGAGCGTTTCGCTGAGGTAGAAGAGATGTCGAGCACCATTGCTGCCCTGAAGTTGGAAAACCAGGCTTATTCTTCTTCATCATTGAATAGACCGACTTCATTACATGGGTACCCCAGTAATGCTATGCCTCGGAATGAATGTGAAGAGAAGTGTGCCAAACTGAAAGCAGAGTTGGACGAGATGAAGCAAGAGAGGAACGCTGAAGTTCGAAATCTTCAAGATGAATTGAAGAAGATGGAAGATCGGAAAGACTATTACAAGAACAATTTCTCTCAAGCTGAAGATCGCGCCAACGATGAAGAGCAGGAATACCGAGCAGAAGCTGAAGCCTTCGAGAAGCTCAGGAACGAGTACAACACCAATGTCAAGGAGTTGGAGAACCTTGAGAGGGATAGATCCAAGTCATCCGTATCTCTAAGAGAAGCCGAAAAGATCAGCCTCCAACCCTGGCCTAAGACCACTGAACTTTCATCCTGGAAGGGAAGTGTCGTTCATGAAGTTTGTGTTGCAAGTGGAGATCGAAACTATGAAGATTGGAAAGCGTGGCTAGCTCCGTGTCTTGCAGATCAACCTGACTTGGAAGCTCTGGCCAAAGCACCCGATGTGAGATTCCAATCCATTGATGCCAAGCTCTCCAATGCCTTGAGGAAAGTCATTGACAATGCTGGGGACAAGTCCATGCAAGTGAAGTATGACATGTCCATGAAGAACCAAATGTATGGGAGGAGTGGGGACTTCATCAAGGGACGAGAACTATTCGCAATGGTCTTGATTAGCTTCAAGTCGCCTGACCACACTGAGGTTCTCTACAACGCCCATCATTTGTACATGTTCAACTACTATGGAGATGACCAACTTGAGGCCTTCTACAACAAGTGGCTTGACATCATATACAACATGAAACATGATGATCTGCCTTCTGCAAATTCCCTGCGTGACACATTGTTCCGGAAGATTGAACATTCAAAGCTTATGGCTTTTGATATCAACCGATACAAAACCTATGATGAAGGGCATCCTGAGAAGACCTATGCTTCCCTAACTGGCATGATCAAAGGATACATAGCAAGAGGAAAGCAAGAACGACTGTTGAAAGATAGAGAACGTGCAGTGAAACTGTCATTGTCCTCTAACAAGACGACACCTGCCCTGGAAGATGCTGACAAACCTGCTGCTCCCATTAAGACCAAGAAGGAGAATGAAGCAGCTGCATCGTCTACAGGTGATCCTCCCAAACGACCTAAAGCGAAGGCGAAGAGTGAAGCTGCATCAGTACTTCCAACACCTTCTCCGAAATCTCATGCCGACAAGAACAACAAGAAAGGCAAAGGTGGGAAGGGGAGATCATCTTCACCCGTTGATAAGAAGAAGATTTTCTGCAACTACTTCTTCAATAAAGGAGGATGCAACAAAGGTGACAAATGTCTTTACAGTCATTCTCAGAAGGTCTATGATGCCAAGATGAAAGGTAAGAAAGGCAGAAGCGGAAGTCGAGATTCATCAAGGGGGAAAAGTAAAGGAAGTTCATCTTCAGCTGGACCCAAAAAGAAGATATGTTGGAATTGGCAGAAGGGTACCTGCACGTTCGGAAGCAAATGTAAATTCCTACATGCGGACCAATCGCCTTCAGCATCTTCAGAGAGAACCAGCAAGAAGACACCAAAGAAGAAAGCAACTCCCATTACCATTGACTCCTTCTTTGATAGCGACAATGAAGACTCTTTGGATTATACCTCACCGAGGATAGCCAGCGCAAAGAAGTCTTCTGATGATCGCAGGATCTCTTTTGATCTGGAACCTGAAGTGCACGAGATTGCCATTGAGAATTACCAGGAGGGACTACCCAAGCGTATGTATCGTGACCCCAACAAGCAGTATGTCTTCTGGAAAGTCGATGATTTGACCGACGATCAGTCCAAGTCCGACAACACACTTGGTTCAGTCCGAGCACGGGCCAAAGCAATCATCATGGACAGATGCGGACTCCATCGTTTTGTTGATGAAGTTAGAATCATCATTGGCCCCAAGTTCGACATGTTGATCAAGCTGGACGATGATCGTGATGACTTGACTTTCACTGAAGAGCTTGTTGAACACGAAGTTGGAAAATCCCTCATGAAGTCCAAGAACTTGATGTG